AATGAAGCGTAGAAAATGGTAATTTCATTTTCACTTTTTGCTGGACTGAAATTCATAGCTTTCTTTTTTCTTATGAACAGGCATAATTTGCAACGGAGCTCTACCCTCTGTGGCCAACGCGACAAGAACAGATACCGGGAATTTCATGGATAGCACTGCCACCTACCGATGCTTCTATGGTTTCCTGTACCCAGACAATAGCGATGTCCAGCAGATCCGTTGCCAGGAAACGGGGGCGTGGTCATCTTTATCTCATAATGAGTGCCAAGGTAATTTTATTTCATTGAAGCTGGGTCAAACACCTTTCGGGCACACATTGTCCTCCAAATACTGCTTCGTCACGACTTTTATTCCTCATTCATTGTAATTATTATTATTATTATTATTATTATTATTATTATTCTACCCAATATTACTCTCTCGGAACACCTCGGCCGATTCCGTTTTTCGATCCGACACGGAATCACCCGAGGGTGAACGAATCCACTAGCATCAAATAATAATGATAATATTGATACTGTGTAGTGCGTAGAGACTATGCAGCGCCTGAACTCGATTTTTTCACAGTTACGTTCCTCGTCATTATGGAAACTTTGGTCAGTTGAGATAGGCCTATGAATTATCAACAAATCGGTTAATAAAATGTACATGTTTTTCATACACGTTGTTTGTCCAGAGAGATTGTGCAGTGCGCCGCCAGATGTCGCCAATGCCACCGCTGTCTTCAACAACCGCACCTGGACGTTCACCTGTGACGCCGGGTACGCGGTATCGGCCGGAGACACCACACAGACCCTGTTCTGTAATTTACAGGGGCAGTGGGAAGGAAATGTGGAAAACTGTGGTAAGGAGGGTTTTTCCTATGTCATTTTGTATTGAAAAATTCCCGGTTTTCCCTTTCTGATAAAATATAATAAAAGGGAATGTGGAAAACTGTGGTAAGAAGTATAAAGAGACCGTTCGTATTATTTGTGTGATTTGAAATAAATCTCATTCACACTTTTTGAAAAATGAAATAAATTGCATAATTTCTCGAAAGCTAGGAACGAAACATAAAGTTCCATCTCCTGCAAAATCATTCTCGTAACTGCATTTAGACCTTTGTGGCTTAAAATGGTGCAAACATTTAAGAACTTGACCAAATAGAACGAAGGTCGTATCCAGTGGAAGGCACTGGTAGGTAGAGGAGAAATTGTCCAGATATTACATTGTATTTAAACCCCTTCATGATGAATGGCGCCAACGAGTACGGTAGGTATTGTTATATTCAGTAGCTTTGCCCTTAGTTAGTTATGTGAGAGCAGTGTGTTTTTTCTTCAAAATATTGCACAAATCTGGAAAATCAGTTTGCCTTATTTGATTTCACCTGAATATTTATTGGATAATTCCTAAGTTTTATACTAATAATCTCATGCATCTTTATTTGTGCTACAATGTCTTCTTTTAGTTTGGATGTTTAACGCTTGCATTGCTTTTGATTCAGTTGGCATGGCCACGGGTGAATACATCGTAGTGGTTATTTTTATCTGTGGCAGCGTGCGTGGTGAACCTATTTGTTTCGTGGCCCTTAATCCATGTGTTCAAGACTGTTATTGCTCTTGTGATCCGTCATTTGTGATGAAATGTTGCACATGGTACATGTAGCATGATTGCAAGGTGCGCTATATGTGTGAAGTATCTCTGGATGTTGATAAAAGCTTGTGGAACATGTAATAGGCGAGAAAAGTGTCCATGTGATCAAACGAGAGAGAGAGAGAGGGGGAGAGGAGGAAGAGAGAAGAATGGAAAGAGAGAGAAGTAAAGAGAGATAGCGAGAGCGGAAAGAGGAAAGGAGAGAAGGAGAGAAATAAAAAAGTGGGTGGAAGGGACAGGAGTGATAAAAGACAAGGAGAGAGAGAGAGAGAGAGAGACCATGGTGTATTCTAAGGTTAATGATGAGAGAGAGAGAGAGAGAGAGAGTCTTCTGGTTCAGACCAGCAGAAACACCACGTGACATTAGCCAGATAACACACACAGAGTTTTCAGACAATGTTTTGAACTCATATCATTTTGAGTACCAATTTCATTTGGATTGAGGCAAGAGCAGGTTGCATTTTGCCAAAGTACGAGACAGTACTCCAGTCTGGATATATCCTTCACTTTCGCCTTGCGTTCGTCTTATTAGATAAAAAATTGGATTTTAATGCAAACATGAAAAAAGAGCACATCAGTTGTGGATCGATTTGATTGGTTGTGACATCAGTTATTGTGGTATTCCGCTGAGATATTCCGAACATTAGACAAAAGGATGATTATAAAGAGACAGGAGAGGCAAACAAGGAAGGACGAACAAGGAACCATTAATATGGGGAAACACGACTTCACATGTAGCACTAACGTTCCGAAATAACTTAACATTCCAAACAGAAGCCGGGATCAAGATGCCTGGCGTGAACTTAACTCTACAAGGATTTTATGGCATCTTTGCTGTTGGTGGAAAAGTACATCGTTTTTAATGAGACTAAACGCTTCTTTGAACTTTAACCCATGGCATTTGGAACCGTCCGTCAAAGGACGTTGCATGTGAAGTCTTTACAGAAACGATCTGCTTTTTCGTCGTAGTACCACAATGAAAGACCTTTGCTGTTATTCGATGGGCAATATCAGAGAGACGGTGTCCATGAAACTGTAAAAATGGAAAGAAATGAGATTGTTCTTCAACTGAAAACGAATTATATCTTATTAAGTTGTGTTTTGAACTGTTTCCAGATATTTTATTGTGCCAAACATTATATATATTTTATGAATTTGCATCATATCGTCAAGCCGAAAACATGACCAATACGACCAAGCATTTTATTGTAATGTCTTGTTGCTAAAGAGTATGTAATTACCCATTTTTTATTGAAGGTTATCATTAATGTATATTTGCTCCTTTAGAATTGTTAAATGGAAGGGGAGATAAGTGGATACTTTTTGTAACGTTTCCGAAACTTCCCACCATTAAAATGGCTTTATTATCACTTTTTTGTCTTTTTTTCTTTTTTATCCATGCTCAACCACGTAATGGTTGATAACCCTGTTGATATCCTAGAATTCGACGAAGTGCTTGAAAACTGTAAGATTTCAATGCAATCCACGCTCACTTCATATGAAACTTTAGTAAAGAACTTATGTCACGCGTAATTAAATAGACACCTTAAATGTTTGAATATCACTGCTCATTTTTTCAATGCAATTCTGGACTAATAACAGCCTGGATTTTAGCCTTAAAAAATACGCCAGGATATCAAACCCGTCACTACAACTGTCTTCAGTATGATCTCTTTAATCTCAGTAACGCGAGAGATGAACAATGACAATTTGTTTGTAAAACAGTACATGGTTTCTGAAGAAATACATAAAGAAGTACATCTCGACCTTTCTTCTTAACCTTTGAACAAGTGACCGACTCTTCAGGCATCACAGGTAAAACGGTTAACACGCATAGTCCCTTCAGAATCGATATACTTTTGACCATCTTTACACCGAACGCGATGAAAAAAAAAACAAGATCCATTATTCTTAAACGACACTGAAATCTTTTCATAGAAAATAGCTTTATTATCATTCATTGATTCTCAAGCCGATACATAATGTAACTGGCCTAGCGTATACGTTTTGCCACGGTATCATGCAAATAACTTAATTATATCGAGTGTGCAGTGGGTGACTTACTATACAAAAGTACTTTACCGTCATTCATTTTTTGCTAACTTAACGAAACTAAGAGATGTGTTTTTATTTTGTATCTGAAAGTTTACAAGTCGTTTTATAAATGACAATCTACTGTTTACAAAACATATCGCCTTGGTGATACATATTTCTACACAAACTTCTTATGCAACAAGTCTATCATTTTTCAGGACATTTCAACATTTTCCACATTAGAATGGTACACCCTATCCTAAACTAAACTTACAAATTTGGAAAATTTACAAATTACGAACCCTTTTTTATTTCATTTTACCCAATTTACATAATTTCACCCATAATTGTAATAACAAATTACAGAAAACAAAAAAGGGGTTGGCATATCGTAATATTCTTAACAGTTTTGTATAGGATATATCTTGGTGGCAAAGAGTAAATTGTTGGCAATGCCATGCTTTGTTTTAGCTGTATAAAGATATAACATGTACTGTATTCCTCTAAGAGATCATTCCTTGACTAGATGGGTTCAGCTTAGACAACAGTAATACACAACCAAAACACCATGGATACCATTACCATAGCAACAGTTGTCAATGGTGATACAATTTAATGACCAAAACAAGGTGCCAGTTATTCATAGACCTATCATGAAAATGAGAGCAGGCAACTGTGTTTGAGGCAGATATTTAAAAGCAGTGAAATCATTATGTGCATAATGTTATAAGTGTCTGGGTGAACCCTGCTAGGAAACTCTGAAATTATTTGTTACAATATCCTCAAAAAACTTAGTTTACATGTTTGTTAACTTCAAACAGCAACTTTTCGAATTCAAATTAACTCTACTATATCCAAGTTGCAAAAGAGATTAGTTGGCTTTAGACAATGTGGATAAAACAAAGGGACTCTTGATTCTTAACAAAAGAACTGCAGTATATCTGTACGCCCTGAAAAGCGGAAGACACCATGATGCAGCACTTCAACTCGAGGATTCTTAGGAATATGTGCTTATGTATACCGGATAATTTCTGTAGGGAAAATCAAAACATTATTATCATGTTGACAAGAGAGAAATAAATACAACCTAATTTGCGACCAGATACAAAACTGATCCATTCATATGTTATGCTGCAATTCTCTGACATGCCTGCATGAATTAATATACATAATACAGAATATAGTTTTTGCTCTAACATGTTACTATATGGGCTTCTAAACTGCTATTAAGCTGCAAACACTGCACATTCAAGTTTAACTTAAATTCATTACATATACTGGGACGTTATGACGGATGACATTTGTTGTCCCCCCCCCCCACCCCCCACCCCCACCCTGGCTTTCAGTATATCCTGAAATTCAAACTGAGTAAAATATAATGATAATGATAATAATAATAATAATGGTTGTTAACAAGATGCTGCAAATAAGAACTTAACATAAAATGTTTCACAAATTCATAAGTCATTCTGATAATTATAAACGGATATTATGTCGTTTAGCACAATCTGGGTTCACTATAACATACTACATAACTGAGCTGAATCCATGTTGCTTTTTTTCCAGCATTAAGCTGTGTTTTGAGGGTATCTGACATGATTTTGGACACATAAAAACGGACCATTTCTGTGGATTCATCATTCAATAAATTAGTTAACTGGGAAAAAGTGATCTCATAAAAATATAACTAGGTCAAATATGGCTTTTAAATGTTCAGTGCTACTTTTCATCTTCAGTTTAGAGAAAATTAGCTATTTTGACAAGAACAAAAAAGTGTGTAGCCAGAAACTTTTAACACTTTTCCCTTATTACCATGGTAGTACACCAAAATATAATCTATTCACTCATCTTTGAAATTTTTAATATCTAAATACTAGTTTCAAATTTTTGAGTCATTCTTGTCACAGAAATGATATTCATAACAGGAGAATCAGATATAAGGAATCTAAAATTATGCTTTTGGATCATGATTTTTTAGCCAAATTTGAATAGCATTAAAATACTCTCAAATTGGTAATTATTATTAAAAGGAAAAAATAAAATTTAAAGCAAAATTCAATTATTTATTTTTGCTTTACAAAAGTTTTAGTTTAGGTAGGTATTGTAATATTATGTTGTATGCTATGTGGATATATATATATTCTATCAAAAATTCTATCAAAAACTTCTGTACCAAATGTCAAATGGGTGTCAGCGACTGGGATGTGGACCACAAAAAGAGTCACTAAAAAAGTTTCAAATTGCAATCAATCCTCATATTTAATAAACTTTTTGTTAACCTTGCATTTCTAATTCATAACAAAAAATCAGACCTAGCTGAAAAAACTGCCATTTTGTTTGTCAAGTACAAAATGTCTACCCCATAATAAACCTCAGGAGGACTACAATTAACTTTACTTCCCCATGAACTAAACAATATGACAATGTACATGTTTAAATAACCTACAGTCCCTTAAAATAGACAACTTAACTGGCAAGCAAGAAGCCAATTCAGGAAAAAAAACTTGTAGCTGAGCTTGTACATGAATTGAAGTGAAATCACCATCCTCTTCGGTGTCAGTTTCAAGCCAAATCCATTTGTGATTTGTTGATTGTATGTCATGTCTTACTTTAAAATATCTAACATTACTTTATAAGTTAATAATCAGACCTCTTCAGAATGTCACAGACACTCACAGAATGTCACAGACATTCCCCAGAATGTCACAGACACTCACAAAATGCTACTTACAGTCACACATTGTCTATTCAATAGATGTCTGCTGTGTATGCACCAAGGGCCATTAAAATCCAGTGCGTGTTCACAACAGGACACATATAGACCGTAAAGAGTCCAACTGACCTCACCTGGCCTCCAGACTGCTTATTACATGGCATTTTATATTAAAAGGTACAATGGAGCCTTCTACATAATCCTTTAATCTGGGTGACGTGAGTTATGACTTCCCTCAGTTCATGTCTTCCTTGCATGACACACCTTGTGTGTTACAAATATATTATTTTCTCCAGGACAATTATAAAATCTATTTGCTCCATACCAATCAAGTTGTGTTTTGATAATATATGTCAATGGTGACATGGTATCCACGTCATGTTGATTTCTTGTGTGTTGCCTGTCCCTCGGATTTCATAGAGCCAACGTTTTCATAAATCTGGGGTGGAGCATGTGGAGCATCGTCTGGGGTCCTGAAGCAGCAGATAAAAAACACTTTAATTCTTTCTCAATTGCTATGGTGTTGTTTTAACCCCTCTTTATCCTAATTAATTCATATGCAGTCCATTTACTTTGCTACTAGAGTTTTACCCTTTGTAGTTTTTTTACCCCTTTTTCACTTACAATAGATAGAGTTTTACCTCACTTATTTTCATAGTTTGTAGTGTTTTACTCTTCTTTTTCCTCTCTTACTAAGTTAATGTTTTACCCTTTTTAATACTTATTTACTTTGGTGGTGTTTTACCTTTTTTAATCCTCACTTTGAAAGTGTTTTACCCTTCTAAATCCCCACTTACTTTGGTAGTGTTTTATCCTTCTTTCCCCTCACAGGAGCTGTAGGACTGTTAGCTGATGGAGAGGCTCCTTTTGGCAAGGCTGTTTTGGCTGGCTCACTGGCGCTGGTTTCAGCTGTGTACTGAATGTTAAGGTACTCACGGCCCGTGTGCTGGCTTTTCTATAACAGAGACGAACACAGACTGGTTAAAATACTCTTATGATTGAATTGCAAAAGTTCTACAGAAACACCCTATTCTTTTTAATATAATCATATTACTTAATATACATGCAAAGTTGAATAGATCAAAGAAGCATGTAAGGTGTGGCCGGCTGTGACTTGTTGAGTAAGATATGGTAAGTGATTAAAAGAGGTTTGACAACTTATTCACAAGTGATAACAAACTGACTTAAGAGTGACAGCTAATTCTGATAGGCAAATTAATTAATTGTGTTAGGTGTGATCACTAATCAAGTCCTGAATGTGACACCTCATTGTTTTGAACATGATAAATATTTGTAACATCTGATTATACTACGTGTGACATCAAATTAAGTAAGTATGACTAACTGATTGCACTAAGTGTGACAACTAAACATTTTGATCATGGCACAAAATTGTGTTGGTTGAGACAGCTAATTGTGTTAGGTGTGACAGCTAATTGTGTTAGGTGTGACAGCTGATTGTGACCATGTCTCACCTGCTCAGCTTGCACCCTCTTTGTTGTGGTATCTATATAGTGATGAACTGCCATGTATACAAATTTATACTGAGCCTCTGTCTGCACCATCCCTGACCTCTGGGACCTCACCATCTGGATTGTTTTCTGGATGTCTATTTCACAATCCAAACCTAGGAAATTCAATGGCATTTATTCACTGATAAACTGGAAAAGCACTCCGAGAGCGCAGACCTCCGCCAAGGCAGCAAAGTCTCCGCCCAATGCCGTTTCACCCCTAAATTTTCATTCTATAATGATTGAGTTTTTTTATTTTTGATCCAGATCACCACCAAAAACTAATCATCTGTTCCTTGGCCCACTTCTGACAGTTCCTGAAAACTTCATCAAAATCGGTCCATAACTTTTTGAGTTATGTTGATGACAGACAGACAAACAAACAGGCAAACAGGGGTGAAAACATAACCTCCTTGACGGAGGTAATTTTGTCTCAAATTAGTGATAAGTATTAGGGCACATTTAGAATGAGTTATTTTGCAAAAGTTACTGTGCAATTACTCCCCGGAAACTCTCACTGAATGCATTCACATTAACAACCTAACATACTTAATTTCTTACACTCGAATATAATCACTAATATTATTTTATAATCAAAGTCCTCATATTCCTACCTTGTTGTCTTATTTGATTGAGAATCATATCAATAACAATGAACGTCCCAGTCCGTCCAATACCAGCACTGCAATGCACCACGATGGGCCCTGCTCCCGGGATACTCTCCTGCTGTGTATTCACGTCTTGTAGGAAGCTGAGAACGCAGCCGGGGTCAGCTGGTACGCCGTGATCTGGCCATACCTTGAAGTGGTAGTGGTACACTTTCCTGTGCTCTTTAGGCTGGTCCTCTCCATCGTGCCACACCTCCAGCTCGCGCCACGTGTAGTCTGTCATGACGTTCTCCTTCACGTGCTGCACGTGGATTTTACCGCCAGGAACCTCCAGGTCCTTAGTCCTCCCCTCCTCAGGCCAGTATCGCACACACTTGTTCTATAATTATGCAATAATACAAATTAACTGTCAGACATAGATTTTACCATTGGGAGCCTCCAGGTCCAATAAATAACAGCCGTGAAATGTCATAAATACTATAAAATCATGTCATGTAAAAAAAAAAAAACCCCGAGTATCAACCAAAAGGACCCCATGATCAAAAGACATGCCTGCCTCCAGTGAAATTCATTTCAAAACTTAACAATAATTTATGTCACAATTTTACCTTTCCTCTCTCGACTTCTTTCGTTGTCATAACAATTATCCTGGAGTTTTCTTGCCAGATCATCCTCCAGAAATCGGCCACTGTGGTGGGCAGACACCCCTGGGTGGCAATGTAGACCTTCTTATTGTTGTTGCCGGGAATAAAATCATCCTCCATCTACAAAAAAAAAAAAAAAAAAAAAAAACAGAGCACATTAGTCAACAGCGCACATGGATATTTTCTCCTTTCTGTGCTGAGGGAGATTTGAAGGTCAGATAATTAGGTCAACCTCTGACTAAAAATTAAAGAAGTTCAGTTTTTAAGCTCGTTTATATGGATGATTGAGTGATTATTCAGTTTATCCCTTGGCATGTTGACTTTTTTACAAATAGGGTTGAATTGAGTCAAATAAGGAACTACTGGCAGTGGTTTATATGGATTACTTGGGAATCCACGTTGGGTTCAAATGTATCTTATAATGTCCACATATTGTCCTTGTACTTACGGTGATGATGTTAGCATTGATGTAGTCACCACCGACCTGGTTACTGTCATCGTCTCTGAGCAGCACTCTTGTGTGGTCAACTGCAACATGGGTCAACAATGATGGTTATTACTGACATTTTTCAAAGGCTTGCTCAAATATTTTCCTTTTTTTTGCAAAATTTATAAAACATTAGTTACTTGTACAAAATCTGTACTTTAAAGATGAAGCCAACTTACTTTTCAAAACCTTTGAAACAAAATATGATTTAAATTTATGGAAACTTCACCATTTTTTAAATTAGAATAGAATAGAATATCACTATAAGGTAGTCTGCTTTTCAGTTTTTCTTGCAACCACTCAATAGAATTGCTTTTATTTTAAGAAATTATGACTTAAAAATTACAGTATCTGTCAAATTCACAATTTTCCCCCCAAATGAAAAGATTGAGTCATTACCGCAGTTCTTCCAGTACTTACATGGCAGAATATTCTTGTATCTATTTTTAGCTTTATTCTCAGGTCTCTGTCCTTCCTTTCTGCTGTACAAATGCTTACATTCCTGCTGCTGCAATTGCTGTATTCAAAAATACACGAATAATTATTAAGGCATATAAGGTGTTTTATTTTCAACGTAAAGAAATACTCATTAAAGGCATAACAAGTGTCCAGCAATCAATTCACAAAAAAAAAATGCGATCAATGTATCGATTTTGCAATAAAAGTAAAACATTACTGAACAACGTGTACCTCAAATTCCTCCCAAAATCCTGCTTTGGGCCCATTTTCCTTCTGAAGTACCTTCACCCTGTTCTCTATGCCTGACGCATTGATTCTAGTTGCATTGAATGGCTGAAATAGAAAGGAAAAACTCACAAAATATAAAGTTTTTAAAATCAGAAAAAAAAGGAAGGAATAGCAAACTTAAATCAAATTCCCATCATAATGGATGTCCAAATTGGAAAAAAGGAAATAATAAAAATAATAATAATAATAAAAGAAACAGAATACATAATACTCCATGTTCTCCATATTTTATCCACAAATATCAAGTACAGTAATTCAAATGGAAATTCAGCCCCATAACGTGTGACACAAACAACAACTGATGAACCTGGTTGGTGCAAATAGTGAATAGTGTGTGTGTGTGTGTGTGTGTGAGAGAGAGAGCGAATGTGTACACACGCACACACACACGTGTATGTGTGTAAAAATTGAAACATTGAACTCACATTTTTGAGGTGTACCACAGTCCCTGATGTTTCCACCATGGGGTTTTTCCTATAGTGCTCCACTAGATCTGAGAGGCTTTCAAACTGCTCTCCACCCCCCACGTCATAACGCCCATCCTAAAATAAGAACACACACAGGTTTAGCATAATTTGATTATATTAGTAACAGTTGTTTTTTCCTCAGAGAAGAATTTCATCAGCTGTGCTATGTTATAAGAATGATGTAATTTTTCTACAGTCAACAGCTAATATCGTGATCGTTTTTACCTCCAATGTTGTATTCACCTGGATAGCCTCATTCCCTGATGAAGATGTCCTGCTAGACATCGAAATATTGGAGGTAAAAACTATCTCAATATTAGCTGTTGACTGAAGAAAAATCACATCATTCTTAGCAGTTTTCCTCATTACTTTGAATTGTTTTAGAATTTTTAGATTTTTCATTCCTAACTCAGCCAACCCTGTTATATGGATAACGTGAACACAGAAGTCTACTGAATCTGGCTTTGGTCCAACCAACAACTTGTGACTAAATGTATACCACTGAAAACGAACTTCCCATGACTAGCGATCACAATGGAGATAATTTCCAAAAGTTGCCTATGTATAACTGACTTGACCAGGAAGTTTGGATTTATAACACTTTTTGTAAGAGCATGCATAAATCACACGACAGAAAAGTTGGGATGTTTTCAACACTGTGGCAAAGCTCACATCAGTGTAATTGAATAGCCAAGTCAAAATATCGCACCATCTGCTAATATGGTAAAGGCTAAAACAAAATTGAATTTTGCTACTACTCACATTTAGGTCTTTATTTTAGACAATTAATATCATGTCAGATCATGTGATTGAGCTGTGTTGTACCAGTATTATCATCAAGGAAAATGAATACTATACTGAATGCCACAGAAACCAGAGAAAGCACAAAAAGTCGTAACAAAATTGATGAGTTGGTGAACAAGCACAAGCAATTAAAATTAGTTCCTAGGAAATCACATTTTTTGCAGAAAAAGTCCAGATCAAATTGATGAGTTGGTTGGCAAGACCTTACTTTTAGAAAATTAGATTTCAGGCCTACCCAACTACCAGATTCGGCACCGAATGATCCTGAATTCACCGGTATATCAGACCACACTACCCGTTTTCAAGGTGTGTGTCAGTACGCATTACACAGTATCATACCCCGAACAAATTTTGAGTGGTGATGCAATACTTTTCAACCCCGCTGAGAATCGTCACTATCACATTGCGTACTAGGCAAGAGCAGTGTCGAACAAATGATTTGTGCCTGAATTTGGTAAGTAGAAAAAATTACATTTCCTGGAAAAACCACAATGCAGTCGGTTTCTTTTTTTATATCAGAAACCACCCACACAGTGGACTTGACAGTTCTCTTTCTCTCAATAAAAATACAAACCCTAAAATGTGACTGCTAAGCTCTTAACACTTCAGGTGTTTCAAAATATTAATAAATTTTGCTTGTCAACACCATTTTCAAAGCGCCGCCACTTAATAAACAACCTATCAATTTTGTCCATCCTAACCACTGGTCTCGTGTATCTCCATGACGGGTTACCTTACAATATCATCAACATGCTAACTTAGACGCTGACAGTAAAGCCACAACCAGCAAAAGTTGACGTTGATTTATTGGAAAAAGTGGATATGATAAATGTCATGAAATGCCATGATTGCTAAAAATATAGACTGAACAGATTTTGAAAGCTACACCTCCTAAGTATCAAGTAGTATATACTTTCCGAGGCACTTATTATTTTTTTCTAATGAAAGACATGATATTGTCCCTGTAGCTTTATATTTGATTGATGCCCGCATTTCACTGATTGGAAGAAAAACCAGCAGAGATTTTCTCTTGTTTGGAACACTTCTCATGATTAGATCCCATCTGGTCTCTGGACTAACCAATTCCCATGATGTGAGCTATGATAAATTTTCTAAACATTTCATGGCTTCAGGTTGACAATATTTCAGTCATTCTTCCTTCATGGACTGTTTTTACAACTTTTTTTTTTATTTCTTGAAAATAACAAAACCAAAAATTTTCATCAAACCAATAACAAACCAGCATTATTAAAAAAATTATTTTCCCTTCCATTACTATCAGAAAGCACCTCAGAATTAAACAATTATTTGCTTGAGAGTTGAAAAAAAATGAAGACAAAAAAAAAATTACCTGGGTGCGTATCATTATATGTGTCACCTTATCTTCGCAACGTACAGACAGGACAAAGTCACCAGGTTTACTCTGACTCTCGCGTACTAAAAAGCTCCCATTACGCCCCTTCTCCACCAGCACACGCTCGGCCTCCTTGCCCGAGATGTGACCATGGAACCACCTGAAACATATCATGAGATTCATCAACTGAAACAAGGCAAATCTCAGTCTGTTGCAGCAAAAACATCTGGCAAAGGCAGTTGAGTTTGGTGGTTGTACTTAGAAATCACAACGACAAATCAATGTTCTTCTGACATAATAAATGAATAAATACATGAAATCCTTAGTTAACTTGTTTTTAAAAGATAGGTGATATTTTGTCAGAATGTATCTGAACATTATAATTCTTTTTAAAAAAGTTCATTTTCAGTTAAAGTAAAATCATTTAAAACTGAATTTTATGCCAAAAAAAAAATTACAAATTCGACCCAATAATGATTAATTATCATGGGTTAACAATGCCATACAACACAACTCCAGTCTCACCTCTCAGTGGTAGGGTCTGCAGAGTTGAGCGGATACTTGAGGTTAATGATCTCCCCGTTCTTCTCTTTCAATGTCCCCTGGTTCTCCATGTGATACTGGACCAGCTCGGCCAGCGTGGCAAATTTCTCACCTCCGTAGAGATCGTAGAAGTCGCCAGTGTTCTGAATCTTGATGTGGGTGACCTCCCCATTTCTCCTGAATAACAAAATGAGATTAATATACAAATTATACATACATACATAAATTAATTAATTAACATGGGTGGGAAATTAAGAGAAGATTTCAGGAAAATATTTTCCTGATCGAAATAGCAGAAATAGCAGTTGATTAGGATTGGGCCAAAAATAAGAATAGTAAAATATAGAAAAGCTAGTGATTATACAAGTAACATGGAAACAAGAGAAGGTGTTTTAGGCTGTTAATCTGATTGCAATCCACAAGAGTGCTTTATCAGTTAGACCCCATTTCCAGAGATTAGATCGATCTACTTTAGATCGACCTAACTTCCTGGGGGTTCACGCTAAATAGCTGTCAGCCGGGCGGACACGAAAGTTAATTACTCCCTTACAGCTTGTAGTAGGCGGGACGGACATTTAAGCCGGATTATCTGACAGTAATCTAGTGAGACTCTCCGTGGGGATAGATCGATCTAAAAGCTCTGGGAATACAGCCTTAGTGTGCATTATCTATGTCAACAAAACTCATTGTGAAGGGTGGCTAAAAGTGTGAAATTCCTGTGGTTATTTTGACCTAGATATTCGACTCACCTGACTGACAGAGTAAAATCCCCAGGATTACTTTTACTTGGTCTACAGAGAAAGCTGCCATCAAAGCCTCTCTCCGATAGCAGTGTGCCTGCCTCCAGGCCAGAGATATTGGGGTGAAACCATCTGGAAAACATGAGAAAATACAGGCATATATTACATAATATATATTTCTTCATTTTCTTCAAGAGATACCATGTGTTTCTGGTTCAAAGCATGCCAGCATCATTTTCAAACTTCTATGGATACATGTTAATTGATCTTTTCATGGGGGGAAATTTTGTGAATTTTATAGATATGGCATTTATGAGTCACGAGTTTCTATAAATTGGAACATAACTATTAAATGGTAGCAACAAAATTAAAAAGCAGGCTACTCTATAAGTCAGAGAAGAATTTCATCAGCTGTGTTAAGTTATAAGAATGATGTGAATTTTTCTTCAGTTAACAGCTAATATTGAGATAGGTTTTCGAAATATTGGAGGTAAAACCTATCTCAATATTAGCTGTTGACTGAAGAAAAATTCACATCATTCTTAGGCTACTCTATAGTTCTGTTCTATGCTGTAAAAGTACAACAAATGTTTGTAAAATATTATTTTTGTGATTATAAAATAATGCATCTGAAATTTTGATGATTTCTGTAAAACGCACATAACAGGGTCATGACTCACTCTGTTCAATGGGCAAAAATTATCAAAAGAACCATGGTTAATGTAGTAAAAAAAGTTTAGATTAAAACTTGTTGAAGTTCAGAATTTTGAAATATGGAAATATTAAAACGAAGAAGATAACCTGGCCTAAAAATTTAAAAAATTGTTTGTTTTATAAAACATATACAGTGCTGTGCACTAGGGCAACATGTATGCTATGTACTGGTTTTATTGTTATCCAACTTCAGATAGTTAAAACTGTTGTAAAGATAATACCACACTGTGTCTCTACTCATATCTTTACATAGCTCATTGATAAACTTCCTCTCAACTAGAGAGAACTCCAAAAATGCTGACCTCACATGTAGAAAAGGGCAACGAAAATCTTCATGGGTCTGTCTCTAGTCAGATTGAGTTTGACACCCAAACTAGTGTTTACTTAGCACAGCTGATAAGAACACTTGAACAGTCAACATCCTGATTACAAAAAAAGCAATTTATTACCAGCCTTAAGTCTTGGTTACATGAATATTCTGACTAACCATCTCACTGATATCACCTGATAAATCATTTTTACAAGGTCTACAGGGTATTTACCTACTGATCCAGGATTTTTACACAATGGGGGAGGGGCAAAAAGATTTTTTTAAATTGATTTGGTTCACTAAGAACTGATAAAAATATTTTACAATGACATGTGGGAAATAGAAAATTGCTTGGATTGCTCTTATCTATTGTGTTGTAGTGGCTTGATCTATCTAACTATATCTATCTATCTATCTATCTTTATGTATTCTATTCATAAACTTTGTTTCTTGAGAAGAGAGTGGAGGGGGTAGAGAGGGGGGGGAGTTACCTCAACAGTTCGAGGACTCTTGGCACACTGTGCCCCCCCCCTCCCCCCACTCCCCAAGTTCCCAACCCTGTTTAACAGCTTTCTTTACTTGTATTACTTGAGAGTTTGCTCATGTGTAATATAAAGGGTAATTTATTACAAGCGATGATGCATGGATTTTCATGCTATATGCTAAAGCATGGATTTTAGAGGTAATCGACAGACAGCAAATTGGTGTTTTCTAGATGGTCCCAGTTCCTTGGGATAAATGGATTCCTGAATATCTCCCCATGTCACCATGAAACAGTGATCATCGTTCTGTGCACCTTTTTAGCATGACAGTCCATTTTGCGATCCGGAAATATAGTTTGTGTGTTTGTCATGACTTTGCGTTTGCCTTTTCTGGTAAATTCTAAAATCTCACCTAATGCGATCACGAATCTTTCGAAATTGTCTAATTAACACATCTACCTTAAATCACCCAAATCCCAATAATATCAATCTGATTTTTTTAAAAATAATAATTCCATGTCGGATATCTAGCATAATATCAAACCGCAACTTGGACTTGACGTAAGAAAAGTCGGTGATCCTGATAACAAACATTCAACAGGTCCGTCACATATCAAAACAACACCAGAAACATGTTACAAATGTTGCATGGAAACACTGATACATTCAATGATATGTTGTTACCAACATTAGCCGGACTTACCGTCTTGAACTCATAATTTGCTGTTTTTTCCTCTCCAGGAAACGTTCTAGACCTCAGAAGAAGCCCGATGGCGAAACCGGAAATGCCTCTATTTCGATCTTACTTCCGTATTGATTAGGCTATTTGTCAGTAAGAGGCCGCAGATTCGCTTTTTGGTGTGACATGCACCCACCTTTTAAAATTATGTGTTACGTCATTAAAGTTAGTCCAATTTATTATTACACATTAAATTCCCAACCAATATCACTGGGGTGATTTGCCAACTTTTTGAGAAAAGGGCAGGACATTTTACAAAATGGTGGAAAAGGCATCTCAGGCCACGAGAAATATGGCATCACAGGCCAGTGAGATCACCACCAGAAATAACCCTTTCTATGCAATCTCACCTCGAACAGCTAAAACAATATGTTTCATTTGGTTTTATTACGGATGTTTTATATAGTAATTTTTTTGTTTGAATACAATTGTTTCATAGGATTATAGGGGAAATATCACTAGTTTACACAATTACTAATAGATGGTGCAGATCGAGTAGTAGGTTCCACGAAAATATTATTTAACAAACACTTGCAAGCAGTCACAGTTGTTTGATAATAATAATAATAATAATAATAATAATAATAATAATAATAATAATAATAATAATAATAATAATAATAATTTTATTTGTAAACAGCACTAAGAAGTGGAATGCGGTTTTTACAAAATAAATATTAAAATCATTAAAATAATAATTAATTCCTGCACCATTTATTTATTTGTTTATTTATTTATTTTTACGAGTTAAACTCACTGTCCTGTGATACCTTTTTGCTAATTTTTTTCTCTTGGCCGAGATACCGTTTCCGCCATTTTTTGACCTGTCATGCCGTTTCTGCAAAAGCAAGGCAGTATCATATGTTCTTTCCTGCCTCCATATCTTAAAGACCTACATGCCCCTTATAGCATGAGATAATTAATTATAAGTTTTAATACTATGCCATTACCACGCTTTAAAACCAAAAATTATATTTATTGTCATTCATTTCAAGTTTTTAAAATTATATGTTTATATTCCGTACATCATTCTTATGGAATATTAGTTTCAATAATCTATAAATCCACATGGACCTAAGCGACTCGGAAAAGTGAAAAATCGAAACTCTTGTCCAGACGTCTCCTTGTTAAACCAGTCCGTGTCCACCAGGTGAGTGTTTGACGATATTATTTATTGTGTATTGAATTGGATTGAAAGTACACCGCTACAGTGGACCATTTGCTTGCTTGATGACTGACTGTCATAGATTTAATTTCGCCAGGTTATGAGGAAAAAAAATCAATAACAAATCACGAGTTCTGTGGTTAAATTCGTGTCACTGTCACAATGTCAATGTCATTGTCACAGGCAGTGTGTCACTGTCACTCGATAGATGTCAGCTCGAAAGATTTTACACAACCTTCTAAAGCTTTCAGTGTGTTATATGTTATGCTAAATGTCTTCTCTTGTTTTGTTTTCTTGTACATGAAACTTATTTTTTCTATTTATACATGTACCAGGGTACATGCATGTGCCATTACTAACTGGTAGTACACACCTGTGGCTGGGGTGGCGCTAACACTCGCCAATTTAGCCAAATGCTAAAACTGACTTAAATTGGCTCAAGAAAAAGGGCCTGATTTGACTTGTTTTAGCCAAATTATAACCATTTTGATAACAAATTGACAAAAATGTGGTGATTTGGCTAAGTGAAAAAAAATTGCTAGCGCTACCCCAATGTGGTATTGTATATTTTTATCATTTGTGTAGAATGTTAGAATATTAATCACTTTCAGTGCTTTCATGCCACTTTTGCAATAGTTTTTATGCCTTATGTATTCCAGGTTTACACTGAAAAGTCGGCTTAACAACCCGGGCCTTTTAGGACAAGATACTGTGAATAGTAAGTGAATACTTTATGTGTACGAATCATGTTTTATACTAGGTATAATGAGGGGAGAATGGTTAGAGCCTGCCAACAGGAGAACTTAATGCAAATCTTCTAGTTTTGATATAATATCTACTGCTATGAATCACATCTGCCTTGCATTATTTGTATTTTTTTTTATTCATACCACCAAAGAAGCAAACATTTTAAGAATTAAAAGCTTGTAATGTACACAATTGGAGTTATTGGTGATTATTACATGTACATTACATTACATCATATTAATTTTTGTTTGTTTAGTGGCAGAAGGAAATCCAAAGGAGCCTGGAAATGTTGCCAATGGAGAAGATTCTGCAGAGGGTGCCAGTGAGAATGGCGCTGCTTCAGGTGACCAGCAACAATTCCGTGCTCAGAGCTTAGGTCTCCGCATCCAAAAGAAATGGGCGGGAAAACTTGCCAAGAAAGATGTGGCTAAGATCTTCATTGATGACCAGACGGGCCATCTTTTAGATGTGCTCTTCTCTATTGCCAAGGATTACAGTGGAAGCAAGGGACAGGCCGAAAAACTAGTGAAACACATGATCAAAATGCCTATTAAAATAGGAATTCTTTATCGCCACAATCAGTTCAATTCTGATGAGTTATCCCAGGCAGAGAATTTCCGAGAGAAATTCCATGTGGCCGCTCGGACTTTTGTGAAAATGTATGAAGGGAAGATGACCTTTGATGCACAAGTTTTGGCAAACAACCTACGTGAATGTCGGGATATTCTCAAGCTTGTTATCAACAACCACCTTACTCCCAAATCCCACGACAGACTTGACCATGTTGTCGCTTTCTTCGGGGATCCAGAATTCCTAACAGCTGTTTTCCTGAAAGATGGGCCGTATCGCCAGCGTTTAGGGGAGATTGTCACAGAATGCCACCAGTTGATGGATCAAGGGATTTTGTAGGCTGAGAGTTTAACAGAAAATATGCCATAAATGACTGTTAACTTTCAAATTACCTTGACTGCTTATGTGATTCCTACTGTAAGTCCACTTAGAGACTCTCAATTCCGTGTTTTCCATTGGAACCATGCCATAGTATGGTAATCAATGACTTGATCTTTTCAATGTAGAAAATTACCAGTCTTTCATAGACATAATTTTGTAACCATTAAAAATTGTATTTCTATATAGCATATGTGGTGCGCATACTGTATACCATAGAAATATAGGGTAGCCTTTTTTTTTTGTTTTTTGTTTTTTGTTTTTTTTTTTTGTTTTTTTTGTTTTCCAACCACACGCTGGCAAAGGCATGTTCTAATTTTAAGAATTTATTACTCAAAAATAGAGTGTCTGTAAAATTAATTTTCCCCATTGAAAAGATTGAGCCATTGGCATCATGTATATTCTCCCTTAGTAACATGGTTCTTCTCCAGCAATTTTTGGAAGTTTTCAGAGTGTATATTTTGATTCATGTAGTTGTTCTTTTAATTAGGTAAAGAATGAAAATTAATTCTTACGGATGGTACATTGTATGACTTCCAAGGTTGATGAAGACTGGGATAAAGATGAAGCAGTGGAGCTAACAACATCTGCTGATACATGGTGTATGTACTAGGGTCTCAGCAAGTGTCCAGTAGTAGAATTCATTTTCATTCTTTTTGAGATTATTTATGGTATACTATTTACGTGTGATAATGTCCCAAAGTAATAATCTCTATGTCTACATATCCTGCAGTGCTACTGATCTTTCTCAATTAAGACTTAAAAAAGGACAAAATCTTTCCAATAAAGATTCCTGATGTTGATATTTTCTGAAAAGTAAAGGAAAACGTGGTTAAAGTGCCAGTCAAAAAAATTGCAATATTTATTAAATAGTAGTAAACATTTAATCCAGGTGCAGGGAGGGGTCAAGCAATGATTCTTGTGTATGAGGAAATAACCTTTTTATTTCAAGGGAAAAATATCATTTGATAGAAAAATCTGGAATAGGATTCCTTTAACCCACAAAGCTTTTCATGAGAGTAAGTCTGAAATCTTTATTTTCTCACTTGAGATATGAAAAGATAAAATTTAACAATGGGGGGAAACATGTCAGGGAGATTAAAAAATTATGATGGGCCAACATGAATGAATTTAGACAATGACTATCAGTACATGTATACGATACCCACCAATTTTCTATGTATTTGCTGTTACTAAGCAACAAAATGTGGTTGTTTACCACAGATCTGACCATGATCTCTTGTTTTTCCTTTGGTAGAGATGCTTTTTGCTTTTAATATTGATTTTTTGTTTTATATATCTATTCATTTTTTTCTAATGCAGTTAGACCTGTATATGAAGTCACTTGGCTCTCTGATATTCCAGCAAATATCGCTAGAACATATACCACCCCACAATTTCCATTTGATCACTGAACTTGGGATAGAAATCTCTCAACCCTTTCACAATAGTCACCATTAATATTTTAGTATTTAGACCAAAGTACTGTACACATGTAAAAAAAAAAGTGAATATGCAAAAAAAAAAAAAAAGAAAAAAAAAAAAAGAAAAGAAAAAAATGTATTTGTTGAATGGAGGCAGGGGAGACATAGCTATTAACTAGATCCTACTGCATAGAAGTTATCTTCACCCAAAGCTCTGAGCAGCATCTGGTCTTGTTTTTCAACAGGCATTTGAAGTTGCTGTTGTTCATGCTTTAAAAATATTGAATTGAAGTGTCTTACTGACAGTACTCTAAGATAGAAGGTGAAATGTTAAAATTATTGCTGTGCTGACAAATTATCAAGACAATCAAGATGAAATAATAAAATGATTGAGTTGTACATTCCCTGTAAATGAGTATATATGTATCCTACTGCGTATGTAAACGTAACATTATAAGATTGTCACAAGTATCATTTGAACATAAACAGAAAGTGTGTGGAACTTAAGTGCAATACATAAAAATTTAGATAGAAACTGACAAGAATAAAGTGAATTATGAGATATGCATGTAATTATTATTATTATTATTATTATTATATAACCACCCGTTTAACTAATATTCATGGCTTGCTGTACCTGAAAATTTCTGTACACCTTATCTTGTGCATTGCAGTGTTTTATAACATAGGACCAAATCAAGTTGAACATTAAGAAAAGGACAGGAGCATTGTAATGTTATTGCTCGCTGATGTAAATAATTTTTTGTTGTTTGAAATCCGTATGCAGTGCATTATATGCTCAAACTGCTATTTTGTCATTTACGTTGTATACGAGTGTCTGATTTGTGTGAAACCATTCCATTTGAGGTACACTGATACAGTAGTTCGAGAAAATTAGGTTGAGACTTCTTTAATTAAACTGCCATGTTGTAGAATGGGCTTAAATCAAGCCTCTGTGTTAATTAGATCTGTATTGGAATTGATGGAGAGATTGAAGGAGGTGGAGTATAGAGAAGATAGAGAAGGAAGTCAATGCAGTGATGAAGAGATGGTCATTGAAGGATTTTGTAAAACTGCTATTATGAGATGTCTAAGACTGGGTTCCCATACTTAGATCGATCCATCTGGATCGACCTAACTCCCTGGGGGGTTCACGCTAAAGTGCTATCAGCTCAAGAGGCTTAAATGTCTGTCACGCCTACCGAATCAGCTAGGGGTAAAATTAATTACCCCCTAACAGTTTTACTAGGCATGACAGATGTTAAAGCCGGTTAGTTTGATAGCAATTTTATATTTAGTGAGACTACAGGGAGATAGATCGATCCAAATATCTGTGGGAATGGTCCCTAATTTTTTCCATTATAAAATGGTGAAAGTAAATAGTGAGCATCTAAGGACAGCTTTGTTATTTTTGTGTTGTAAATCTGAGAAGCAAGCCACAGCATTTTGATCAGAATATGATTAAATATAATTTATCATTTTGTTTTGTCACTTTATTAATATTTGAATTAAAAAAAAAGAATCATTGGTGTTGCTCTCTTGTATTTGTATTATAACCAAAATAATGTAGTAGTAATGGGAATGTTATGCAATTTAAATATAAATATATATTTATTCATTTAGATATTGCCACATTTTTATTTAACATCTATTCTTACAAGTATACTAGTAAACCTTGAGCGCTTAGGTTTGTCTACGTTCTTCATCTCATTGTAGGTGACAATGGCTGATGGAAAAAGAGGTTGGCTAAGATGAATAGACAAGTATACGCGAGTTCCATTTTCCTCACGCGAGTTCCGTTTTCATCATTCTAACCAGCTGCGTGTATAAGCGAGATGATAGGTGTAGAATATTGCTTCCATAATAACCCACAGTAGTGTTAATCAGTAATATTGAAAATTGCCACTTCATAAACATACGTGTACAGTGTAACCTTGTTATTGAATTCTTAGATTTATTGTCTGGAGAATGGGGAGGGGGGGGGGCTGTGAATTTGCAGTTGATCGAGGTGTTAACGTACGTTTAGCATTTTAATTTTGAGCCAAATAAGATTTTATGAAACCTGGAAAACGGGAGTGCTATTTTTCTTTTTATTTTCCTTTAATTTTTTTCCTTTCACCAAATATTAAGTCTAATTTGACGCAACATAAATCAATATTTTAAATATTTTAAATATTGCGACTGTTTTACAATAAGAAACAACTCATCATAATTACCGATACAGCCTGCGACGGTACGGGAAAAAGCTCGGTATGCTTAATGTAGTGGGTTCACCGTGAGAATATACATATATATGTGTATACCCTTATGAATATATAACTGCAGTATGTTACCTGGTTAAACGCAACTTATCTCTACCATATTGGTATCTACGTATGTTGCCAAGCATGCTGTTCAATATAATTATCATTGTAGTTAATAATAAGGTTAAAGCCAGGAATTTTCTTGGAAAAATTNGGGGGAGAGATATTCCGTTTAACAGATTTTACCCATGCAAAAATTGTCACAGGACATGCTAAAAGCCTCTGTGGAAATCCTTCAGAACAATATAGGAATTCTATCGGACGTCCTGTAGGATTTCTATTAAGGATATATGCCTTATAGGACCAGTTTCCCACAAAGCAATATATATATATATATATATATATATATATATATATATATATATATATATATATATATATATATATATAATGTTTTATGTTTAGTAACAGATTGTGTTAGGAGAGAGTGAAAACACTCATTATTTTGTTAACGATGTCCATGTATTCTATAGTCACAGGGCCGTAGCCTGAGCAAAATGCCAGGGGGGGGGGCAGTAATCGGGGGGGGGGTTGGGGGTTCCCCTCCCACGGTGTGGAAATTTTTTAAAACTCTATATATAAAACTGCATTCTGATGCATTTTAACTGTTATTTGTTGCTCAATCAGAAGTCAGAAATTGTGGGTTCATTTTGCCATAAGTACAGTCATTTTTTAACAAAACACGCCAATTGGCCTGGGGGATAGCTGCCTAGGGGAGGATGAGCTTTTTGGCATGAACCGAGTTGGCTAAAAATAGTACACCTTTGTAAACAGATTGTTGAATGATTGTCTAGTGGCCATGAGTGCATTTTTTTCACAGAATTGATACCAACTTTACAATTTTTTTTTTACCTTTGCGATTATTTTTTTTTGCACCTCAAATCCTAGGGGGGGCAGCTGCCCCCCCTGCCCCCCCCCCCCCTCCCCGGAGGCTACGGCCCTGAGTCAGTAAATCGCCATCGTTCGTATAAATACGGTGTCAGTCATGCTTTGTGCGGTCTTTTTCATTTATTTTATCAGTGAAAAAAGGTATAGTTTTCCTTTTTAAAGTACTATAAGCCTATGGTAAAGTTTAATTTTGCCGTAAAATGTCTCTCTATTGTGGGCTATCTTTGTGCAATTGATTTTTAATGAAGCTCACACGTTTTAGAAATTATTATGAACCAGTTCTGTAGACCTGTGGGCGTAGTGCTACATGTAACTAAATGTATTACATATCTTGCATCTTTATGAGCAAGCACTTTCACGTTTTTTTAATAAATTACCAGTACCAGTCCAGTTGATCGCTATTGGGCAGCTAGTGGAGTGGGTTTCATGTATAGAATGTGCTTCTAGTGTGAGTGCCTTGTATTTGAAGACTTACTGGGATCAGTTGCAAAGTCGAACAATTGGTTTAACAGTCAGATAACAGCGCGTGGATTTAGCCAGTGAATATTAAAAATCAATCTCCATTTTTTTATCATCATCATTTTTGAATGGTTGTATCATTTATTTTTTATTCCTTCGTATATTTAGGCCTACTTCGTATTTTTCTTTCTCTAGAATTCACCGGTTTCACTTATGGACATGCGTAAATATACAGTACTCTTATCCACTCAAGTTCCTTCATCTTGCTTCGACTGGAGGATCCGCTACAGGAACTTATAGGATTTTTAGAATTTCCTTTCGGGCGTCTTATTGGCCCCTAAAGAAAATCTCGCGTAAGAGTAGTATCATAGCGCTTTATATACTACAATAACTGCTACCGCTAACGTTAGGTTGTTGTTAATATGTTAATAATAAGAAGTAAACGCGCCGGATATCGATTAAGAAATTACAAGGCATCTAATGTTTCTAGTGCGGACTTTTCAACCTTTGCTGTCTTTTCTACGTGGCAGTGGTACGCATTTTCTGTTTAAGATCTTGTTCAGTCCTAGAATAAAGAATATATTAAGACTTTAAAATACGTCAAACTGTTATGTGTCACACACACTAAGTAAAAAAGAAATAGATTGCCGACTTTACCGATGTCCATCCCTCTCACCGCGCGCACTCTTCAAATTTTACAAGCATATAAGAGAGTAAAGGTGCAAAAATGTCCAACTCTTTATCTTTTTCTTTTCTATTCTCAAAGAGAGATCTGCACATGCAGTACCCGGGGCAACTCCACAGTCGACATTTGAAATGGCAAAGACTACTCAAAACTAACCGCTTTGGCTCTCTTCTTGCTCTGTAACGTCAGAGGTGGAGTCAAACGTAACTTAACCGTAAAACAAAATGAAAATAAAAGCATCTGAAGTCATCTAGCTAGGAACGTTCCGGACAGCCCTTTAAATAAAAGCGACCACACTTATATTACAGTAGCTTTCCCGGTATAGCACAATTAAGCGATCGCCCAGGCGTAAATACACCTTCATTGCACAGTGGCCCCATACTTTGATCACTCTACTCTGATACGGAGATTTAAGGTACCCCTACCAGGGCGACAGATTGATTTTTCACAGATATTCACAGATATGTCTCTAGATAAATAGACAGTCATTTGGCTCTTTGTCATGTGGATTTTCCCGTTTTTCCCTATAAAATCTGCCACCCTGGTGGAGGGTAGAATTAAGGCATGAGAACCTGCCAACAACGATTTTCTTGAGTAACTCCGCGACTTACCATCAAAGCTGGGTGACGAGATCGATCTAGCTATGAAGTTGATTTAATGGACATAAAGATGAATTAATGCAAGACCAAGCATCTTAAAAAAAAAAAGGTCCACTTACTCAGGAAACATCTTGTGAGCTCGTCTGTAGTTTATTGCCCAATATGTAATGTTAATCTTTTCGTCATACTTGACGTCCATTATTCCTTTCCATACAGTCTGAAATAACCCAGATAACCATTATAAGAGGGCAGGCTTCGGTTTCACAAAAAAACCTAAGTCAGGTTCCCTGGCCAATAAAATAATTACCATGGTCACATGGGCACATCTTACCCTATCAGGAGCAGTGTAACAGCATTCTCATGGAAATCCTAGTCAACTAAGCCAGGGAACTGACTTAAGTTTTTTTTAGAGAAACTGGGGCCAGGTAGAGGTTATACATCGAATTAAAGATAAAGATAGGGGGCGCCAGCATTGGAATAATGAATCCATTCCGAAATTCAGAGTTTTTCTGTAATAGTCTCTTAAGACACTATTACGGATGAAAGCCATCTTTGAGGGTCCTCGTGGTCCGATGCAAGCACAATTACAGAATAATTTCTAGTCGTTTTGGTGGTAAAATGGAATTAATCATATTTCTATGTGTTGTTGACAATGTATTTATTCATGGAATTTTGAATCTCGTATGAATGGTCGTTACGCCATGAACATTGAAAAAACTAAAAATTTGCTATTTACGAGGGGGCACTTGCTCAATGCAATCACATTAACAGATAAACACGCCTCCTCCTGTTCCCAACGTACTCGTCTATCTATCTATTTATTCGACGTTTTAACATTAAAATCTGTGCAGTCTTTACGATAAAGTTTTACACTCGCGTACCTTCATCATGTTGTTCTGATCAAAATTAAATTTGATCCACGTGTATGTTGGTCGATACTCTATTGCTAGTCGGGTGTAGTTCAATGTATTCACTCCGTTATCCCACGGGCCGTGATGCCAATACAGGGCGGCGGCAAACTGGACCATGCGGCGTCTAGGAATTATAAAATGATCTTCATTTTCAACGAAAGCTATGCGGCATTGAAAACTTTGCAGACTACATATATATATATATATATGTATACATGTGTAATTTCACTGGATCGAGTAGCATTAAACATCGACAGTGGTTCCAAGCAAAATTTCACGAAAACATTTGAACTTATGTCACCGGGAATAAAATAAATCATAAATAAAATATGAGTGCCTCGTAAAAAACGTTTAATTACTGTGCATTTTTCCGAATGGAGGCATTTGATCTGACGTGAAAGTACGTATTTTTTATCACATATAATAAGACAGAATTGAAAATAATGTAATTTGTCCTTAGAATACCATTAGGCCTTTCAATCCCAGCTAACAGCCCCAGGATATTATCGGGGCTGTGCAGCCCCCCTCCCCTCCCCCCTTTCGTAATTATGAAAACTCACTTCTCACGGTTGGCGTAGCCAGGCAAACGCGAATGGTTAAGAACTCTGTACACGCCGGAAATTTCGCTGGCATGCTCAATAGGAACTCTTTGAAAGACACTCCTAGAAAAAACAAGATCGTTTTTCAAAGGTGATATACGGCAGGCTAAGGTAACAACGACCTCAGCTGCGCACCTGTTGATATCACTTTTTCTGCAAAATAGCGAAGTGACTGAAAGCAAAATTCACAATATATTCTTTTTACAATATGATTCATATATGGACAACAGTTTGAGGTTGACAAGCCGCAGTGTGATTTATTTATTTATTTATTTATTTTTTTTTATTATTTTTTTTTTGTGGGTCATAACGATTTACCTTAGTTATAAAGATTCCTATTAACGTTATTTATTTAACTTACCTGAGATAAAAATCGTCGTCCTCTCCGCCCCATCTTATGTAATTATTAGGAAAACCGTTTATCTTCTTGAATGTGCCAGGAGCTAATCCTAGAACTCCCCCGATATACCTTGGATAGCGCAGCCTAAGTCCAAAGCATTATCATGAATTCTGGTGACACCATTAAAATTCACGAATATGTCAAACTTCTTTAGAGTAATGATTCTGGATTTCACGTGGTCTGATTTCGGGTTAAACATATACGTTTTAGCCATGACTATAACCTCAGGATATTTAAAGAAACCGGGTCAATTATAGCTAAAGTTAAACTAAAAACCCCTATTATGATATATGACATTCAGCAGAGTGATGGCTACATGTTCAGACTACCGTCTGTATACACAGGAAGTGAAAAGGGCAGTGAGTCTTTTTTTATACTTGTTATCACAATTTGTACAGAAGTGACCGCCATGCTGTGACATTGGCAATGATTACAATTATCGTAAATGATTCAAGTGTCATATATATATATATATATATATATATATATATATATATATATATATATATATATATATATGGAGAACATAAAAAGGAGACGGTGAGAAGGAAATCAGCCCGCGTGACGCATTCTTAATACAGACCTGCATTGATACCTATCCTCAGCGGAGGAAAAGTGAAGCACCCTGTCAGGCTCACATCTATAGAGAAGTGAATTGTTCACAGGGATTTTATCCACGTCTTGAAATATGTAGCAGGTGAAATTAAACACGGCACTGGCCTCGACGAAGCCAACATTTCTGGTGTACCCTAGGTTGTAAGGCTCTGGAAGCGCCTGTAGAAATATAAATGGGCAGAGGATAAATTAAATAATAAGAGAGAGAGAGAGACAGAAAAGCAGATAGACAGATGAAAATAGCTAAGACGAAAAGGACATTAAACAATTTACCTGTTCAATGACGAATATCTGGTAGTGACACTTCTGGCTTTGTAGAAAAGGGTGTAGATTTTGGAGGAGAATATCCAGGTGTTCTTGTCTGTCACGGTAAGGAATGATGATGGCCACGTGATCCCTAGGCTTGCATGACGTAGGTGCCCACTGACCTCCAGTGGCGACCTCTTTAAATAGTTTTGTTCTATCTTGGGTTGGCAAAGGTTCCAAACGCACTTTGTATAAATTTTCTAAAAATGAAAAGAGAAAACACTTGAGATATAAAGTCACTGTCGATAAAGGGGAAAATGAACAAAAGCTATCACATTTGTCAACTCGACTCCATTTGACCATTTGACTATGTTACGGTGTATCTTATAATTAGGCTCATAATAAGCTAGCTTGACAGCTAGTTTAATCGTTTTCATAAGTAAGTGACTTACGGGATTGAAAAGATATATCATTTACATATTTTATCACTGAGTTTTAATTAAAATACACATCCTCCGTTCCCATCCCTCAAATGGGGTGGGGGGGGGGGGGCTGGTCTTGAAGGGCAACGCCTGCACTTTGCACACGAAATGAAGAGAGTGACAAAAGAGATGAGATAAAAGGCGTAACCCGTATACTTGTGCATGTTTTCCCTTAAATCTTAAATTATACAGCTTTCCTTTTTATATCCAGAGCCAGAAAGGCGTCGATAGGCCTATATACATTCTGCAAGGGCGGTTGTATAAGGGGAACCTTGCTTCGATCTCGTTCCAAGTCCTTACCTAAATGTTCGTGGTTTATTTGGCATACTCTCGAAGATATGGAGGTTATTTCTTCTGTCTTTTTGCTAAAAACATATTTGTTCTTCCTGTAATTGATACATGCGCCAAGTGATGAAACATAGATTTATCAAAATGAATTTTGTCTTCGTTTGAACCCTTTCTTTTATCCCAGATGCAATACTCTTTTGAAATATTTCATCAATTTTATTAAGAGTGCAAAAAGAACATTACATACATTATCAAATTGGCCAACATCTTATAAGAGCATATCATTGTTTTAAACCAAGTGTTAAGAATACGTAATATTTCTTCTAAAACATACCTGATTGTCGCCTTGGAACGGTGGACTGTTATCATCGAAAATAAGCTAAATGCAGCCAAGGTAATAAAGATCAAACACCGCCTCCTATGCGTGGACATTTCTTCTGCGATTTGTAAACCCAGTACACAAGCAAGTTTAATTTGCTGCATGGATTTTATGCGTGGTATACGGTTGCTCAAAATGGCTGCCCCACCTAATAAAATCCATGTAGTTTGTTACATACCAAATATTTAATGCACAGCTGCATCGTTGCAAAAACTAAATGTTTGATCGAAAGACATGCAAAGAGGTAGGCCTATTCTTCACAAGGCTGGCACCTGGCTGGCACCAAGCCCAACTGTCAACATATATAAAGCTTCAAGAATTATTTAAGTGTTGAAAACCTAAATTTTCTAGGGTGTGAAAACCTTTCTGAGCAGCAGTGTATTATTCAGTGTATGCTGGTGATTATACAGTTAATATGAAGACGCGTGCAAAAATAAATTCAATACGGAAAGAAAGCAAGAATTATATAACATTCATATACCTTTGTGTATTACTGCACTTCTGCGGGCCATATATATGAAAATTTAGATTTGTGCATATTTATGTATACTGATATTAAGTACTCTGCAATAACAAGATATACAATACTGTCTACTTTCAAGGTTATGTTACAGCGTTAACTGTCACTAGCGAAGACACGAGAACAACAGCGTCTGTTTTAGTTTTTTAAAGGATGCTTTATTTACGAGACACCTGCAAGTTGACGTGAGATGGGGTGGTGATGCACATGACGTGACATCGACGAGAACAGAATTTCAGAATAATATCAAAGAAATAAAAAAAGAAATAACATGAACTAAAATGAAAAATTTAAAGAATATTCGAGAAAATAAAAGAAATTGCATTTACAAAATAAACTGAACTTTACAACATAAAGAACTGAGAAAGAACTGAATTAAAAAAATATATAACATGAATAGTAAAAGCAACTGCAAGCACTGAAAAATAAAATAACATTTATAAATAAGATGAGTTAGGCCTAAATCGCAAAAAGCAACCCAATCAAGTCAACCATTTTTATTGGCACACGAGAGTGTTCCGCTGTATGAAAAAGGGGCGTATTAAATAGAGAGACGAGGATACACGAACACAAACGGAAAGAGACGAACACACTACCCTAACACAATCACAGCTGAAACTGTCTCATACACTGGTAAACATGTTACAATATTGGTCCCACAATCACGTGTGAAACATGCTATAAAAGCATGGCGATAAATCATAGACCTGAGGCGCACCTGTATTTAAAACCAATGTATCAGAAAGATTTGAACCAACTTTCACAGCCTTCCATCTATCTAGTAGAGACGTTTTAAATCATTCACATAAAAATAGGCCTACTGGAAATTTCAGGTCGTTTAAAATTAAAATTGGCACGATGGTGTTAAAAGCAGAACTGTGGTCTATAAATAAAACCCCTGCAAGAATTCTTCTTGTCCAAGTGTTCTTTGGATAAGGGGTAAATGAGTTTGAATTATTCTTCTTTCTTCTAACTTTTCTTCGGTGCTTTCGGCTTGGCAACTTGTTTAGTTCTATAAAAAATAAATATATATATATATAGTCACAATGAAACAAGTGAAGTCTTTATGTTCCTATTTAGATATACTTAGATCGCCGACATAGAAGGCTTTGGGTATATAATGTTCACTTACTTAGGAAACATTTGGAAAGCCCTCTTGTAGTTAATTGTCCAATATGTACTATTGGTCTTCTTGTCATACTTGGCATCCAGGATGCCTCTCCATACGGTCTGAAAATGTAGGCTACACAATGCATGTATGTTATAGCATTTATCGAAATTAAATCTTACACAATGCAGGGAATTATATCGGATTCCCTGCACAATGTGACTCTGAATAACATCTGCAACAGACACAGTTGCACGTGATCTCATTCTCTCTCTCTCTCTCTCTCTCGATCGCGCATTTTTTTTTTTGACCGAAACAGTGTAAGAAGACAGTGTATGCAGGACATGAGATATGCTAAAATTCGTTTTATAGAGTAACGACGGCTAAAAGATATTAAAAAGTATATTTAAAATTGGGCACCTTACTATTATTATTGTATAACGATTCTTTCCTGACGTGTACAATTGTTTATGATAAGCCCGGCAAACACAGATCGTTATTGTAACGTTATCATAAAGTTTATATGACCCAAAACCGTTTTGGTAACGCTGCTGTAACGTCACAGTAACGTTATGGTAACGTTATACATGATAATACGTCCTGTGTTTGTTGGGCGGTCTGTTATCACGTACCTTCATCATGTTGTTCTGATCAACATTAAATTTGATCCACGTGTATGTTGGTCGATATTCTATAGCTAGTCGGATGTAGTTTAATGTATTCACTCCGTTATCCCACGGTCCATAGTGCTTATACAGTTTCGTTGCAAAATAGAGCATGGGGTACCTATGAATTGTTCCAAATTATATTTGTATATATTATAATAACATATATCCTGAAAGCACAGGTGAATGTTTTGGACATAGGTTCAGATAAGCTGAAATGAAATTAACGCTATGCTTCATTTAAGAAATACAAAGCAATCAATAGTAAGCAGCCCAAAATATTGAACGCTTAAAAAACCCTCAACCTCTACCCCCTCTCTCTTTTCGTGTAATAATGCTAACTTCTCACTGTTCACGGAGCCAGGTAACCGCGTATGGTTTAAAACCGTGTACACGCCTGAACGGCTGTTGGCATGCTCGATAGGTATCTTCTGTGAGGAAATCCTTAAAAAAATAGCCTGGTTTAAAATTGATATACTTTGTTAGGTCTCTACACATCGAACAGTATATTCAGTGGGGGATTTAGGGAGGGATGTCAAGGGTGGCCTGACCGACCCCCCCCCCCCCCCCCCCCTTTAGAATTCTGAAAAAAAAATTATACTAATATTCCCCTCTTGAAATTATAATTTTTGCTAGCTGAATCAAAGTCCTAAACCTTACAAAATGGCACCGTCCACCCTCTAAAATACCAATTTTTTTTTCGGGGCTCTTCAGCTGGCCCTGAACCCCACGCCAGGCATACGTGGACCCCCACTTCAAATTTAAATAATCTTGGATCTGCCCCAAATATTTGAGCGATACGGCCTATCCACTTTGAGCGATTGACAGCTTAATAGCCTGGGTATTGAGTAAGAGAATCATGTTAGACGTAGCTACTGCACTCGACATGACTAATTGCTTGTAGTCTTCCAAGCCAGGATTTCCCGCCAAAAATTTATATTTCACGAATTTTCCCGGGGTAAAAGGCATCCCCCTCCCCCGACTTCCGAATCTTTTAATCGTCCTTTTCTGACACTCTCCATAACCCTGTAAAACTTTTGGAAGAGCCAGAGATCAACCCGGCACTTAGGGCAGGTTTTCCCGATGCATCAGTTATTCCATGCCTCGACTTCTGGATAACGCGGGACTCTTGTGCCGTGACCCGCGTTACTTTCAAACTGTGTCAAGATGGTTGACTAACGAGACTGAACAGGGGACGATGAATGTATTTTTTGCAATATTGATTAGGGCCATTGATCTGTCAATAAATGTTTTAAATATTTTAATTGTCCTCAGATAAGTTCAACAAGAATCTATTAATGCACTACTAGCTTAAAGGGATAATAACTCTTCGTTTTGGCCAATAAATGAATTTTCCTGGAGTAAACAACAATTTTCCCATAGTTACCAATGGTTAATGAATCCATTTTTACATTCAAAGTAAGTCCCTGTTTTTTTTTTTTTTTTTTTTTCTAAAAAAGTTTTTTTTTTTTTTTTTGTTATAATCCCTTAAGAGATTTTAACAGAGTATAGCCGTCAATGGAGGTCACGTGGTCTAAAGACAAGCTCAGATATCAGAATTATAGCTATAACTGCCGTTTTTGTATGAGTTGTTCACAATGTTTTATTGTGAAATATAGATCTCATACGAACAGTTATTATCCCTTTAACCTGGAAGAGCTGAAAGGTTCATTAACTTAAATATTTTCTTCTACTTACCTGAGAAAAAGATCGTCGTCATCACCGCCCCATCGTATCATATTATTAGAATACCCGTTTGTTTTCTGGAATGTGTTAGGTGCGAATCCTATCACTCCTCCGAGGTAGTGAAAATAGGGCAGTTGCCTGGAATTAAAGCAAGACTTCTATGTGCATATCAAAATTGTATTTATGGCCTGGTTTGGAAAAGTTCACAAGATTTTGGGATAAAATGAGAGCAAGTACCAATCTTTACTAATTAAGCCATCTAAGATTTAGAGCATGATAAATAATAGCGGTAAACAGTTAAAAAGACAAAAGTATTTTTTTTTTTGCTTTGGTTTTCACTATTTGCAAAGTAGTGGCCGACAAATAATCATCACAATATAATTTTCAGCGAGGCTTTATTTTCAGTTTTCACATAATTTCGCACATTATTTTCAGTGAATTCAATATGATATATGAGGGAATATTTTTTAGTGATTCGGGGGTTATTTATAAATCGTCCCTTTTTCTCACAGTCCGCCAGAAATATCTTTCTTTTTCCTTCGGTCAGTGTCTAAGTGAGTGCCAGGGCCGATGGGTGAACAAATAGTCTTCTTATTAGTATTTTAACCCTTCAAACAGCTACCACAAACATTTTCTCGCCCTACAGCCCTGGGGAGAGAGGCGGGATTCTTTGCGGGAGTAAATTATCCTGATACATGCCCGTTCGGAAATCTATCTTCAGCGGCGGCAAAGTGAAAAACCTTGTCAGGCAGACATCTATAGAGAAGTGAATTGTTCACAGGGATTTTATCCACGTCTTGAAATATGTAGCAGGTGAAATTAAACACGGCTCTAGCCTCGACGAAGCCAACATTTTTTGCATATCCTGTGTTAAAAGGCTCTGGAAGCGCCTGTAGTAAATAAATGCACCGAATAAAAAATTTAAATATGTACAAAAATAAAGCAGTATAAAGCAATATAAGACTACATAACCCAGGGCCCACTTAGTAGTGTTTCCAGACATCTTTTTAGGCAACCGAGACAGAAATCGAGAGAGAGAGAGAAAATAAAGGAGAGTAATGAATGTTTCTGAGATGCAAGCGTGTAGCAATCTACCTGTTCAATGACGAATATCTGGTAGTGGCACTTCTGGCTTTGTAGAAAAGGGTGTAGATTTTGG